CCAACACAAAGAAAAGACCCTGCGATCAACTTGCTGCAATCAACAGAAGAAGATCAATTGTGTCTGTCTACTCATACTACTACATACTGCTGCTGTATGTATAGTATGTATGTAGTAGTGTACAGCAGAAAAATATCCAATCAATGTCTCGGCACGGATAGCGGATGGAAAATTAAATATAGGAAAAAGCAACGTGGTGGCGGGTGTCCGTCGATGATGTAGACCATCAAGCAAGGTATTGTATGTATGTAGTAATATAATAATAATAGTGGTACTCGAGATTAATTAGGGGCTCGGAACCAAACATACATGCAACACATGTATGTATGTATGTGAGCAGCCCGCGGCACTCTACTCACGTACGTACGAACATACCTACACTCCACTGTTCTCGAGAGTTTTTTAGGCTCCTCCCCCGCAGGTATAGATAGATAGATTCATACACCTGAAGGTCCTATAAAAATAGGCGCGATTATTTGCTCTTTTTTCCGATGTTTCACGGAAAGAAAGAGGCGGCGAATTATTTATTGGTGCAGAGGATTTTTTTGTTCGGCGTTCGGCGTTTGGCGATTTTCCAAATATATCTGGGTGAGGTGTGTGTACATACATATAGCCTAGAGTTCGTGTAGAAGCCAAGGCTCGCAGGGGTGCACCACTTCATCATTTTACTACAAAAAACAAACAAGCTGCAAAAAGAGTTTCTTTTCGGCGATTGTTTTTCTTGGAATCGGTGTTTCGCCGATCGCCTACTACGACGGCACCACAGGGGGACTGAAGAGCTGAATGAAGAGCCTAGAGATTTTTTCTCGCTATATATAAAAAACATGAAAGAAATTGTTTGCTGTGCTGGCTTTCGCATACCACTATTATTACATACCAGCCAAAAGTCGGATTGATTGATTGTTGGCGACGGAGGAGGAGGGGTTGTTGGTCCTTATAGCGAGGAGAATGGATTTATTTACGGCAGCAGCAGAGCAGCTACAGATAGATCATCACTTCAATATACTGCACGGGAAGAGAGTGCAGAGTGCAGAGAGAGCACGCTTTAATTTTCACGTAATTTTCTATAACGTCTAGCAGAACAGAAAGATTGTATATTTTTCCGAAGCGCCAAAATCCAAAATCGCCCCAACGTCCCGTTGCAGAGTGCGCCCCAAGATTACCACGCAGCAGAGAGATCCACGTACAGTACATTCAATGCTGCCCCGCCCCCCTGCCGACCTAGCTCCAGAACAGGATCGATCGACGATATGTAGACATATCATCGTCCTCCCATCACACCCGGTATGAGTGCGTGCTGCTATCACCCTTGACGCGTGCGTCATCATCAGTGGTTTCGAAGAGAGGGAGTACGTAGTGTGCTTTATGACAAAGCTTGGGAAAGCCACAAAATAGTTGGGAGGGGTGGTCGAGAAGTCCAGCAAGCCTCGTCGAGGTTTGGAAGATCCGGATTTTTGGGAACAATTTCCAACACACAACAGTTTTTTCTGTTGTTGGCATCACCTTGTGTTGTGTGTGTGTGTGTGTGTTTTTTTTATGGTCCCGGAAAAAGTATGCCGGGGGCGGTATATATATGTACATGTACGATCGCACACTTGTGCCTGCTCTCTCTCTCTCTCTCTCGTGACTGAAACGCAACAACGAGCAGCACCAGGGCCGAGACAGGGGTCGAGCTGGCGGGTTTTAGCAGCAGTATCAGGTGAGAGGAAGGCATTGTCGGTGGCTGCAGCGGGGGCGTGCTTCTCTTCTTTTCTGCGTGAGGACGGTTGGTGCGGCCCCATGGTTGATTGTTGATTACCACGATGACTTTTGTTGTACATCGAGTGAGTGAGTGTAAAAGGCGGGCCTGGATGTGGGCCAAGGCAGTCAGTGAGACGGCCGCGGGCCACGGCGGTTGGCTCTCAACTAGAGGTATCACGGAGGTGTGCTCCTAGACTACGTCCTAGGGGTCGACTTCCTAGGGTTTCGGCATGGTCGTGGCACACCAGCCTGACACAACACCCCACGTCTCGCAGGCGCGGAAAAGACCCGCACAAACGGACCGGTTTCATGTAGATTCCACCTCTACCGGCCTTCTCTTCTCATCACACGCGCAGTTTCTCTTCTTCTTTTTCTGCTTCTGCCTGCCTATAATAGCACAACAACACCATCGGCTTCATTGCTCTACACCTAGAGTACTTGCGTTGTTGTCTTGTTGTGGTCAGCTTGCAAGATAGGTGATTTCCCTGATCAAGAGGATGGCATTCCTCCGCTTGATGCTGCACAGCTCAACTGAACTGACTCCTGTTTACAGGTGGTGCGTCCTGCCTGTTTGTCTGTTTGTCTACAGTAGATGCAGCAAAGACAGACGTGTTTTGCTGCTGTGTGAAGGCAACCCAAACACTGACAACCAAAACCTTAACAGAGCCACGACTGGTGCGTGGCTTCACCGACGTTCAACAGAGAGCGGCGGTGGCTCCATTTCTCATCCGATGGTACACAGCAGTATCGTCAGCCAAACAAACTGGCTCGACAATATACTCCTGTTGTACAGCCAGTCCGCAGTCAGTCGTACAACAAAGAGCCAGCATCAACAGCAGCAGCACGAGTAAGTGCACAGGTGGTGTAACAATTTGGTGCGTGTGCAGGCAGTTTTCCCCCTCCACCGAAGTGCTGCAAAGAAGTGCTCTTCTTAGCGAGGGTAATCAATAAATCACCAACCCTGCTGTGGCGTTGGTCAACTCCTGACAAATAGCGCCGGGTGGGGAGAGAGGTGGGTTGAATTGTCTGTTGTCCGGCATGCCAAACCTGCTGCGACGTCTGACGGTTCTCCTCACGTTAAGAGTTTCTTTACACAAGGTGGGTGGCAAGGGAGTGCTTCACCGCAGGAGGGGTGGGTACGGGGGCCTCAGGGGGAGCAACCCTTCTTCTGTGTTACTACACACACACGGAGCTTCCATACCCGGCAGGACCGGGGAAAAAAAATGGGCGCCGTAGATACGTCACTACCCATCCATATGCCACGATCAGACGAACGTTTGTTTTCGAACAGCAGTATGCATGTGGGTTGTGGCCTATGAGCACGGAACGCGTCCGCGCCAACTGGACCAGGACACACACGCGGATGGATATGGAAGACGTTTTTGAGCGAGCGGAGATCCGAACGAAAGACCTAGACTACTGCTGTAGTGCCAATTCAACGATATAAAAAGCAAATTCCACGACGAATAAATTCAGTATGTCCGCTGCGGGGTGATGCTGTGAACCTAGAGTCTTTAGTCTAGAGAGAGTCAACGGTCAATCAAGGTAACAAACCGATGAAGCGACGAAGCCACCGCCAGGGAGCGACCACACACAACTACACATAACATGCACGTACTGCTGTACTGCTTTCACATTCTGTTCTTGATTTTGCGGTACACAAGGCTGGCTATAGTATTAATTAACTCCCCGATGCTTCTGGCAACTCCCCTTCGATTTATTTTCGTTCGTCGGCTTCCAGTGGCGGCCCCACCCTTTTGTAATATTTTGTTCGGGTGAGGGCACCGGGTGGTAAAATTTCCGTTTATCATGTGTGCGCCTCATGTTTTTGTGTTTTTTGGCAACTCAACCCGTTGCCAAACCCGATCCGTGAGGGGCGCGAAGTCACAGCAGCAGTACCCGGTGCGGAAAACCAACTAAATACTGCAGTAAAGGAACGTGCATGCCGACCGATGCCCCTGACTCAGGGCACCAACCGGTGCCCTGACCCTCGCAGTTTGTTGCCGGCGCTACGGCGCAACGGGGTATTGATAGCAGAGTAGCGGGTGGTGCCCTGCGATGGAGTCATGTGGGAGCTACAGCAGCAGCAACAGTAGGTGATGGCGTGTTGCCAAGACGTTGTTGTTTCGTACGGCATCATCCTCTACCTTGCGTTGGCTTGTGTGCTCCCTTCTGCCAGATTTGCCTCATGTGGCGGTAAAACCAAGTAGACTCTCCCTATATTTGACTCCTCTCCTCCCCCTACCATATATTAGTCTACACCGTGAAGAACGTGTTACGCTACAGGATTGGCAACCCGATGCTACCTTAACCAGTCGCGTTGACAGTTACATTGTACCAACCCAGTGCGTGGCCCGGGTTCACTTGCGATTGCACACAACTTACGCCCGAAGCGGTTCGGTTTACTATCCGTGGTGTCGTGGTGTGTCGCACCGGGTGAGTTAACGCCGCCGCCGTGCTCGTTGCGAAATTTGAAATACCGTTTGTAACCCGGTGCGATATCTCCGATCGGTGCGATCTCTCCGACCCCGGTGCGGGAATACGAACAAATCGTCTCATTTAGCTTCGTCTCATTGCTTGTTCAAGGCACCCCCCGGTGTGATCCTCCGACCGGTGCTGTCTCTCCGACCCCGGTGCGGAAATGCAGACAAGCCATCTCATTTAGCTTGTTTCAAGGCACCCCCTGGTGCGATCTCTCCGACCGGTGCTGTCTCTCAGACCCCCGTGCGGAAATGCAGATGCACCATCTCATTTAGCCAACCGGTGCTTTCTCTTGGACCCCCGTGCGGAAATGCAAATAAACCATCTCATTTAGCTTGTTCAAGGCACCCCGGTGCGATCTCCCCGACCGGTGCTATCTCTCCGCATCTGAGTAGCAGCTTTCCGTCCAGCGAGCGGTCATGGGTTTGAACGCGAATTTGGCTATTGCGTGACCATGAACAACAAACGATGTGATTTCCATCTGGGGTACCGGTACATTCGGCGCTTTTCAGGTTGTCTCCAGCCTTCGTTCCGGTCTCCTCTACGAATACCAGTACGAAACCAGCAGGACATTCGATTTACGTGCCTAAGGTGGGGGTAGGCCGCGGCCTGTACGTTGTATGCGTGGGTGGTGCGGTTTGCAACTTCCATAAAGTGACGGCTACGATAAAAGAGACGGCGTGACAAGCCGAAATCCTTCTCATTGTAGAGTTTTCTCATATGTTGAACGTCGCCAAATGCTCAAGGGTCCGTTAAAGCAGGGATTCTTCCAAATTGATGTCAGAGCTCCATGAGCGCACTCAAAACCATGTGAACGTCATGCTGCAGCAACTACATCGCGTCGTTCTGACTCAACGCACCGTTTAATCTGTTTTATTTAGTGCGTGTCCATAAAAAAATAAAAGAAACGCCATGCGTATCATACTAGGGTTTAGTTTCCGGGTCTGCTACGCGCTGTGCCTACCAATAGTGCTCGCCCCAGCGAAAACAGTGCTTTCACGTGGCGCATATAGGCACCCTTACAACTACATGCAAGTGTAAAACATGAAAATGCCCAATCAACAGGGAAAATTAACTGCAAAACGCTGTACGCTCCTCCCACCCCATTGATATTTCCTTCAACCACTCTTTCCTGCCTCTTTTCCATCTCAGAGAAAGTCTCTCGTGCACGTTGCTTGGCTTCTCTCGACCCGTGATTACTTATCCAAGCGAGCTTGACCTTACGAAGATGATAGGAAACGTCGGGCATGTCGCACTTCTCCGCAACGTCCTCGAGCTTACAAAAATGATCTGCAGCAACATCGCGTACGGTGGCGGACGCAGGCCTGCTTTCCCTGGGGACTGCGGCGTTTTGCCTGGTCCAGCCTCGTCGACCTCGCCGTCATCAGAACCTAGATCCATTTGCCCTATGCTCTCGTCATAGATGTCTTCAGTCATATCCGCGATAATGGCTTCGGCTACGTCCTCATTCTCCTCTACACCCATCCATGTTTCCACCGCCGCCATGGAACCCTCGGTTGGACGTTTGCCGGGTGACAGCCCCAAGCTTAGGGTCAGGGTAGAGCGATTGCTCACAGCTCGGTTTAAGAGGTAAGGCATTTTTTCTCTTACATCGGTATTAGCCGTGACAAGTCGATTTCATTCTCTATCTCGACTCTCTTATATCGTAGCCGGCACTACTGTACCCATTAATTGAAAACAAAAGCCCGCGTGAGTCGCGCCGGTTGTATATGAAGGTGGCGCTCCGCCGACACCGTCACCACATGTACAGCAGCGCGCGTGCACCTGTTACGGCACCTCTTAATCTTGGAGTTCCGGGTCGGTGAGGTCGCACCACCGCACCCGGTGCGATTCTCACCACCCCGGTGCGCAAGTACAATCAAATCGTACCGTTCTTGTGTTTTTTTTCGCACCCCGGTGCCATATCTCCCCGCCCGGTGCCATCTCTCCGAAGCGTATGGTATTGACCGAAACTGGACTGCTGTTGCTATGTACCGCTGCCGCTCGCTGACACGCAGCCAGGTGCGTGCTCTATTCATAAGAAGAGAGACGAGAGGTTGCCAAAGCGAGGGCGGCTTCTTCTCTGTCAAGCGGATAGCAGGCTAGCGCAAGGGACTGCGACACGGACCCTTGTATGTGTCAACCGGAGTGTTCAGCAACATCAGCAGGTGAGGGTGCCGATGGTCGCGCAGCATGGGAAGGGAGCTGATTCAAAGCTTTCGAGAAGGAACCAGCGCCCCCCATCCCCCCCGCCGAATTGTATACCCCGCGGTGCTAAGAACACGCCAAAACTTTACCGCATCCCCCGAGGGAGCACGGCGCTTTTTGGTACTATGTCTTGTCTTTTTGGCGGTTTCCTCTGGGGTACGTTGCGCATGCCGCGGGGCGTTCGTTCTCTTGCGCGTTTTTTTTTTTTTCTCGAAGGATCGGGGTAATCTCCCCTTATGGCGATGCGCTTGGTTGCGGAACATGCACCATCGCTCGGCGTACAACTCCTTTCCCACCCGACGCAGCCAACAGTCATGCGCATTTCGCTTTATTCAACTGCTATATGCATGCATCCGTTTGCATCGAATCGAAATCAATCGTCATAGGAATCTCTGCGGCAAACTAAAAGGATCTTTTGTGGGCGGGGGGGGGGAGGGAACGTGGCCGGGATGAGGATGTCGGCGTTGATATGGCGATTGCTGAGGGCCACCTTGCCTCCAATACTTGCGGTAAGTCCTACGGCTTGACTGTGGTTTCCAACCGACGGTCGACGCGAGAGTTGTCACCGCCTCTATACTTTTGTCTTGGGGGAGTTCTGCATCGGTCGCTGTCACTTCTGTTAGATATGCATAGAGGAAAACCCATTAGACTACTCAGTCACCAGTTTTTTTTGTATAGGCTGACCCATTAGACTACCCTGTCAGTCTGTTCGATAAATGCTAACCCGTTAGACTAACCAGTCGTCTTTTTTTGGATACAGCCTAATCCATTAGACTGCATCTCCGTCAGCTAATGAGGTAGTCGGCTAACTTTTATTTTTTAGCTTCCACTAAGGAGATGTAGGGTGTTTGCTCCCTTCTTGCCAAAAGGTTAGAAAACGCCCGTAAAGTGCAGTCAGTCGACTCGTGCGGGCCCATCTCGTAGCGAACGTCGTACAGCGTGAGTGGGAAATACTATTCGCAGACAGGGCTGGCTTCATCAGACGTGGTGTTGGCCTTCAGAAAGCAGTTGCACGTTCGTTCGCTGTCATTGTTGTCGTTGTCGTTTTCTGTCTCCCATACTTGTATCGATGAAAGGAAGGTCGTCAATTTGATTCTCGTTTTCTTTCTTCTCAGGTGGGCAGTTCCGCCTTCGCGGTTGGGCTGGACGAGAGAGGTGACGAGGCAGGCGGAGGCGCCATTGGCATGCGAGAGGGGTTTGTGGTGCAGGTGTGTGCTGCAGGACTCTAGTCCCCGCGTCCCTATTATAGAAGAAATCGCCAACCTTTGTTGTCTAACGCTATAGGCATGCATGCCTCCTCACCAAAAGTCGAGGCACCTGCGTAGGGCGAGCACCGTAGGTGGTATGCCCTGGAGCGATGTATTAAAGCTCGGTGTATCCACCGCGGAAAGAGTAGGGGCGTCCACCAAAACGTCGGCCTTGGAACCGTCTCGTCGAGCACCTTCCGTAACCGTATCGTTTGATTTGTACATCTTTCTGGTCGTGGAGTAGTCGAGCTTTGAAAATCGGTCCAGGGCGTGTGATGTATTACGTGTCCACCTACGGTATGTGCTGTAGGTCGATGCACCCGCCCTACAACAGGCGCCCGCCTTGTTCACCCGCCTTATTCAAGCGTATAAGGAACAGCTTGGTTGTTCTATATATATGTGTGTCTGCGCCGAGAGATTTCGCCCGCCCTTTTCGGGCTGCACCAACTGATGAACGTTGCGGAGCTCCGCGATGTTCTCGAGCTCAAACAGCAGGTAGGTGATTTTTGGAGACGACTCATAGTTACGTCCGCCGTCTATCTATGCAAGAACGCCCCAAAAGCGGTCTATGTTTCGAAAGTGGACGCCGGGGCGCCAGCATACAGCAGTAGGTGACGTAAGGACGTGCGATTACTCCACGACGAAGAGGATGCGTGAATCAAGCGATACGTCTTCGGAGAGCTCTCGGCGAGATGGCTCCAACGCCGCTGTTTTCGGCGCGGCCTCTCTCTCTCTCTCTCTCTCTCTCTCTCTCTCTCTCTCCGCTGCTGTGGAGCAGTCGGTCCACGGGGTGTGATGTCTTGTGTCACCTACGGTAATGTAATCGGCCCCTACTTGTCCCGCGGAGGATGTGCACGAACACGTAGTACTATCAATATTTTCTCGCGCTATGGTACACAGCAGCAGCTTAAGCCATCATCGTCGTAGGAAAGGCTAGGCCTAGGCTGTGTGCACAACATACTTCACGGTGCAAAGTGCCCAAGAAAATTCTCACGCCTCGTTCCGTGCGGTTCGTTATCGTCTTTTTTCCTTCTGGCCGGTTAACCGGTCGTGCGCAACCAACCACCCACCCAACCACCCAACCAACCACCCAGGAGGTGGGATGCCCGCAAGCCATCTCGCACGACGAGGCGCTTGCGAGAACGTCGGACCACTCCTGGCCAGGCGGTGTTTTGAACGTTACGTCACTGGAGACAGTCGGTGAGCTGGCTTGAGCCTTGGTTGCGTCCACCCCCAACGACTAACCGCGGTGTTGTTGGGAGCTTTTTCCTACTTCGAAGTACTATGTTATGCACCCGCAATGGGTTGGTTGTCGTTCGGAAGGTGGAGCAACAGGCAAGACACTTGTCGTGCGCTGCTGTTTTTCTACGGGGGGGGGGCTACAACTACGAAAATTTCCGTCATGACGTAGAGGCGACTCGTTTCACGGACACGGAAACATCAAAAGAAAAAAGGGTGTTACGAAATACGGCCCAGGGGCGGACCTTACACTATCTCTGTGTACAACGGTGGCGATGGAGGAAGCAATTGAACCTCGACCCGAGGTCGACGTCCTCAGTCGGCGGCCCGTTGTGCCCCTGCCTCTGAGCATATCTGAGGCGGCAGACGGAAGGAAGATTGGCTACCCAGGACGATCCTAAGAGTTGGCCTTTTTGGTGTACAGCAGTAAGTTGTAGGTGAATCGACGACTAGTTTAGACTATTGACCTTGACGTTGCAGCTATAACAAAAGCAGGTGATAAGATCCAATCCGAAGCTAAACCGATGGGGGCAGGATGGACGTTTTCAAAGGCCTTCTCGACCTTCTCCCGTGCCTGCGCGTGTGTGCGAAACAGACAGATTCTTCGTGTTCGTCCGTTAGGTCGCGTTAGAACCTGCGTCTTTAGCCCCTCCTTGTTGATCGTTCTTGCAAAGACACCGAAGCCGAAGAAAGCCTCCTGCTGCTACGTCGCTCTGCATTCATTCCAGGTCGATCGGGGAATCATTACATGGCGATATCGGCAATGTTTTCCTTGGCATATTGCTGCGGAGTGAAGGTGGTGAGTGGAGATGATGATCCGTGGTGCGGTCAAGAAACGGCGCAACGGCCGCGCATGTACAATACGCCACCACCGTGCCCACTATCCTCGCGCTAGATACCCTGAGGGTGAACGGTTCGACCCAATCGTCTTGTAGACCGGCACGATGCTAGAACGCACGTGGGGATGACGGGGCTCACGACGGGACTGAATCCAGGTGTTCTTCAGGACGATTGGACGCGCTGCTTCCGGGTCCCGACTCGAATAGCCCTGCCACGCATGCTTGGATGGACCCTCTTGTGTATGCGGGTTCGAAGTAATAGAGAGCTGTGAGCCTACGTTGGAACATTTTCGCGGGGGAGTTCGTCCGTGTGTCTCGACCAAGTTCCCTCCCGTTTATGTCCAACGAAGATTCGTCGAAAATGCCCACCTTTGCTCTCAAATCGCGCTTCGCTTTGCTTATGATATTGTTTTGCTCGTGCCCAGCTCCAGCTACCCGACACCGACTATCGCTTCCCTACCGAGGAAGGGGGAGAGTTCAAGTCGTCGAAGCACCTCTTCACGTTCTCCTCCAACGGCACTGATGGCGTCGAGGCGGAGCGACAGACATGGTCCCAGTTGACGGGTCTAGAAGACCTCCAGGGCCGAGTGGGAATCTGTCCCAAGGAGAGGATCGTCGATGGGACACATGCCAACCACATCACGGGTAAAGCTCGGGTATTTGTTTTTTGCCGGCAGGGTTTGATTGTGAACCACACGGGATGGGGATGGACAAAACCCTCAGGCCTATTTCTGGCAAACATGCACTCAAGCTTCTCAATTGGTGTCCAAATGATAGCGTACCGCCTGCGGAGGTCCACGCGGGATACAGCCCGAGGTACAAGAGGGGTACCCCCGCGGGTTCGGCGGGGCCACAATATATGCATCTTAGCGGCGCTTGTGCGACAGTGCCTACTTTCGGCAGGGATGAGAGTACAGACAGGCATGTCGGGGTCGGGCAGAAGGATGAGGGCGTTGGCATCATCGCCAATGAGCGACAAGTAGTAGCTGTACGCGATCGGGGACCACCTTTGTCGCTGGTTAAACACGTCTTGATGATGCTGGGGGTCATTCGGTACTGCTGGTGCTGCACCCTACCACCTGGTCGAGGGGGGAGGGGAGGGGGGGGGGGCTGTTGAGGCCTACACAAATGGAAACTTTTGATGATCCGACATCCCCGATAAGTGTTTTCCGGGATCGGGCGTGCGAATTTCTGGAATTTCTGGGCGTACTGTGCACCCAGGGAGTGAAACCGCCGAATATTACCCCAAAGTGCGCCCGACATCCTAGGGTCCGCAGTGCATCCCCGTCGTCTTTTTTTTCATACTCACTCGTACCTGTATGCGTCGGTTCCTTTGCTTGGGTGCGCGTCCTTTAACCTCGTACGTATGTGCATGCGCCGATTCCTCTGTTTGGGCGTTGTCCAGGGCTTGGCAAAGACCTTCAGACATGTATTCGCCACGTGCACATGCGAGGGTGCGAGGCCGCCTACCTGCAGCAGGTGATCGGTGACGAAAGGTCTTGCCCGGATTCGCCGCCGCCACCCGTGGAGACGGATGGGGAGCCTACTGAATTGGTGGTTCCCGGGACGGCAGGGTTGCCCTCCGAAAGGAAGGGGGACGGGCATCTGGTGGTGCACATTCGATCGCAGGATATCTTTAGTCCTGACACGAGATTTCATCAGTACGGACAGGTGTGGCGCGCAAGCAGAGTGTTTTCTTTTGCGCTTCTTGTATACTCGATTATTTTCGGCGAGACTTGGGGGTCCACCGGGTTCTGTTGACGTTAACGTAGGTACGGAGTTTTCGGGGGCCGAAGCCGATATGTATGTAGATCTACTTAGCAAGGGAGAATGCTACAACTACGGGTTCAGGGGTATCTATCTAGGTGAAGGTGCTCCGTTTGTGGTTCTCTTGTTGCCCGCTAACGGTTGGAGGTTACAATATTGAACCACTTTTTCTGCTAGAGCGGCAAGCTTGGTAGTCCCCCAATACTGTCACGATCGAGGTGTAGTGTCAAAATGTACCCCCCAACGTGTTCGACAGGCAGGGTCTTGGCCTGCGCAAAAGTTCCAACGAGAGTTCTCCAACCCCCGCCCCCCTGGCGACGCTACTATGACAACGCCTGCGGCAGCAAGAATGAATTGATTGGTGTAAAGTCGCCGCGTGCTTATATATCCCGCATCCCTCATGTCCCAGTTTCTTCCCGCCCCTCCTCGCCTCGTTGCGGTTTCTTCTCCCCCATCAAACCTCGCTGGCGCACCGTTCGTTACCTCTCTCGCCCTCTTCAAGCCGCCCTTGGGGTATTTTCTGGCCGTCATCGCGAGCAAGAAGTGGGACTACTTGTCGGTCCTCACGTCCGGACCAGACAAGCAGCTCAACCCGACGTATAGCGTGATCGCAGAGCTCAACCGCCAAGGGTACCTTGGGACCAACGTGGGGATGCATAAGGTAGGTGGGTGTGGGGCGATGCTATTACTTAGGAACATCCGGCGTGTCCATTTAGTTCCCGCAAAAGCAATTTCGCGGTGATTTTAAAAGCAGTGGTTCCAACCGGAACCAAGGAAATATGCGGAATGTGGGTGAAATACCTCGCGAGGTTTTCGTACCACCCGTGAATGTTAGTTGGCGACCGATGTGTTTCTGCTTACTTCGGTCGTATTTTGTGTGGTTTGGGGGGAGGACGTATGTATGCACCTTTCTGCTTTGTCGCCCTCAAGCACACGGCAAAATTCCGATGTGCATCGCACCCAGCCGGCATGAGCGACGATGGTGTCGGTCCGGCGTTTGTCGGCCGTTTGCAACCACACAACCTAGACACGATGTGACAACGTTCGCCCCACGGTGTTGCTGTTTTGGTGACGCGGACACGTTGTTTGCCCCGTTGGGCTACAAAGTGTCTACCGCAGAGCAATCCCGAAAGCGCAAATCACTTCTTCTGCTGTTGTTGTTGTCCGTTGTTCGGCAACAGGAAACAGGACTACTTGTATTGTACCAAATTTTGAGCTTCCTACGGGTGTGAACAATGTTGTCCACTACTTCATTATCTTCGTCTCTTGGTAGAAGTATATGTTTTCCGTGGGCGCGCCCACCCCTCAGATTCGAACACAGGTTTTACACCGTGTTGTCTGGCGAGTCAAGTCACTAACTCAGCCACGGCGATTTTATTTTCTCCTGCACTATTACCATTAACATTCTCAACGTTCCGTGTTGTCTGGCGCGGTCAAGTCCCTAACTCAGCCGTCGCTATTTTATTCTCTCCTGCACCATTACCATTAACATGCTCAACGTTCCGCGAAAACGTTCCGCGAACAAAAAAGGACCGGTCGTTCTGGGTAGACCTGCAGACCATGCTCTGCGCGGACAACCTTGCCCTGTCGCACTCTACCCTGTCGAACCTTCTGCTGGCGCACTCGAGAGCCAAGCGCTTCTTCCTGCCGTGGGGTTGCGAGCCGCAACCGTGGACCTTGAAGCTCAACCGCTTCGTGAACGCCTCGATGATCTGCCTCCAAAGGCCGGAGGTTCAGGCGAGTTTTGTTTTTGAGGTTCTGGTAGTAAACTCTTGCCGGCGGGTCGTCCACAGAAGAAGGGAGTTGTCTGGGGACGGTGCGGTCTACTTGATGACATGCATGGAACGTAGCATGGCCCCTTTCTTTTCGGTTGGTTGTCGTATTTAGGATGGTGCGGTAAATTTACATAGTGACAACATGGCCCTTCGTTTTCGGTTTGCTTTTGGCAAGGCCATCCCGGTTCGCGTTGGCTCTCGCGCGGCAGACAACCGAATCCTTACAAGAGTAAACTCGATGCTCTTATCATACACAGAGGGAAATGAGGGTTTTCGGTTTTTACCCATAAATCCATCGTTTATCTAGCTAACGTTCGTCTTCGGGATTGGTCACCAGTTTCACGGCTGACTCGCTAAGCACTCGTCTCCTTTCCCTGGTTAGATTGTCATCGGCCTCTGGATAACTGTAGTGAACCAAGTGAGTGTTTTGCCAGTATCCAAACATCAACGAACAGAGAGTACTGCGGTCGGGTCATTCCCATCACGTTGATGCACTACTACTACTGTAGTGCATTGCAGGTGGGTCTCTCCTCCCCTCTCGGCATCGCTCGGTAATTTAAGAGATTCTGGTCCGGTCAGAACCCGGCGTGCTCGGGTAGGGGTGCGAGATCAATGGCCCAACGGCTACGCCATGCACGACTGACTGTGAGTACACCACTCCCCCCCTTTCGCGTGCTCAAACGTTCCCCACGCATGCCCCTGCTTTGTGCGTTGTTGAACCTGGTGATTCACCCCCGAGGACAGGTGTACGGTATCGATTGGCGAACAACCAAAGACGCTTACACCGTGTACGACTCCTGGGATCCAAACTCCAACATGATGGAGATGGTCGTTTCCGACGCAGTCAAGGGCGTGCAGCGCTGCTGCAATTGACTTGAGAGTAGTTAGCGTTTTGGTCCATTCCTGAGTTACTACAAGTATGCTGTAACCACCTTTTTTTGACAGGGCTTAAATGTCCGGGGTACACGCATGCAGGTCTCCGTGTGTGCCAGAACACCGCGCCCCAAGAACTGTATTTTCTGGGTCGGCTGTTCGCAAGGCACCCTGATCGCACTGCAGTGAAGATTGGGTTGAGCAGTGGCACCACCACAATTATTTGCGGGCCATGCCCGCTTTCAGGGCATGGTAACGCGAGGAAAATATGCGTAAACCCCTCCTGCCCCGCACGCGCGCGCGCGCGCGGGCCTCCCATACCGCACACACATGACCCCATGCGCACGCTTGAACGTTGACGAAAGTTGCACTCCACGCGCCCTGCAGTTGGCGCACGCGCGAGTGAGCGTGTCGTTTTTAGTTGTATTTTCTTTCGCTGTCAGTTTAATCCGACAAGGAAGGGTGGGGGAGCTCATGTCCTTAGTGTTTCGGTGTTCTCTCATTTGTAGCTTGAGCCTTCCTCACCCCCGCGCTGGGGACGCGGCAGAGAGAGAACTGGCCGACGGTGTATTTCCTAGCGTTGGTAGGGGTGCGACCCTCGGCGTTTGTGACGGTGAGCGTGCTGTAATAGGATTGTTGCTTCTGTTGGTTGTTGTTGTGGTGATGGTTGTTTACCGTGGTGATACTGGTGATTTCCTAAATGCATATAACGGCTGTATTTTGTCTTTGTAGTCCCCGAATCGGGAGCCATCGCACCTTATTGTTGTGTGTTATTACTCTAACCTTTTCTGTCGCGGTCAAGTCTGGACACCGGTCATGATTTGTTTTTCATGTGTTTCCGTGAGTGGTGGGGCAAGGCTCTATTTGAGGTTCTGTGTTTTTTACCTGATTGCGCATGGACCACACAACGTACGTACGTCGATTAGTCTAGGTCGTGAATGTTTTCTTGGGCTTTTTTTATAAGTTCACGTGTTCAAGAACGATACGGCGCAAGGCCGGTCGATGCCGCACATGAGCGGCCGACTATGTATACGACCCATGACAGTTCATGACTTCCTCATCATCCGTTGAGCGGACGAAGGCCTACAATGGCCCATGGGCCCCAGTATGGGCTGCTGATGGGCCGGGTTTCGGACCTGTTGGCTGTCAAAGTAAATTCAGCATGAGGGTGTGGGTCAAATTCATTAGCCACCGTACCTCGAGGGATCGATCACAAGGCTTGCCACGGGCGACAGATCCGAACGAGACACATAATTAGTGTTGCTACCAACATCCATACGCCATTTTTGCTACAGTACATCCCTCCCACGTGGTCTAGCCGCCGCTTCGATTTCTGACCGTCCTGCACGGCCTTGGTCTCTCAAACGGAAGACTTCCGAACCGGAGTCACGCATTTACATGCATTTACATGCCAAAAGGAGAGGCGAGGCGAGGCTACCAGGAGAAATAGAGAGAGAAAGAAGAAGAGAGACAGAGTGGCTTCGACGAACGGCGAACAGTGCAGTCAAGGCCGCCGCCAACCAGGCCGCGGCCTTAAAGTCAAGGACGCGAAAGCCCGTGAAAAGGAGGAGGAATTGATCGGTATCTACATACGCACTTTATAAACCCGTTTTCTTTCATGGAAAGCTTTTTCCTTTCTTGACGCAGCCAAAAATCTAGTGATGGCAACACAAGTTCTCTCTATACTACAGTACACCGAAATATCAAAAAAGTTTGCTTGGTCTCCACGTGCGAACCAACACGAAGCACGACGCAATGACCCAGGGCTTGAGTTTTTGTCCTAGGTGTCGTTACTCCTGTTACCTTCCACGAAGCCTGAAAGGCAACCAACTCTCTCGACACCGGTCGCTTCCCTCTCGACACCTGGTCGCTTTCCACTCCCATCCAGAACCCAAGTTTCGCAGCCCATGTCAACTGGCGGGGCCTAAACAACGCCGTCCAATACTATAACAAGACTCCACCACGTTGACATCCACCAATACAAACCCGAAGTTTAGTGAGACTGCTTCTTGCTGCCCGTGTGCTTGCTCGGCTTTTTCTCCGCACCATCTTCTTTCCCTTCGCTATCTAGCTTATTTACCACACACAATGCCTACGTCCTGCACAATGTATTCCGGGAATCAATGTAATATTGTCACCGTGCCCGAACCTTCCTTCCACCCGCCCTCCCTGTGATGTCCTTTCCCCCCGATGCCAGCGTCATTGCTGCCCCGATTGTAAGCGAATGCAAGCCGACATACCACCAGCCTCCCCTACCATCTGGCGAAGGGTCCGTAGGGCCTTCGAATTTCCCAAACCTCATCGTCCTCGTCTCTTGTACTGCATGCACCGAAATGATTTGTCAAAGGGGGGCGAGCGCCTTAAGGCGTAAGAGAGAGAGAGAGAGAGAGAGAGAGAGAGAGAGAGAGAGAGAGAGAGAGATGACACCCCATCAATCCCAACAACACCGCCACGGGCACCGATCTGAAATCGCTTGCCTCGTGCTACGCCTCGACACGGCCGGACCCTGCTCACACTAGTCTCCTTCGTGGCCGCGGATACTATTATGTGATCGCCACATGCCTACGTGTGTATGCCTACTACACTCTGCGAACTCCAGCAAACACCAGTTTCCCACTACTCGTGTTCCCCGTTGGTAGCCGTATGAAGTGTTCGCACTGCAGTTGGTTTCTCACAACGTTGCTCGACCGGCAGTGAGCCTGCAAAGATACCCCAACCATACTTACTTGCCTTGCGCCCTTGACACGAAAAATTGATAAAACCAAAAGAGAGATGTTGCATTTTTTCCTTCGTGGATGTTTCATGCAAAAGCACAACCAAACGCGACACTAAAAACGAAAAATGAACACCAAAACGGAAAAAAATAATATATATATATATAACAAGAAGTAGTAGCGCATTCCACTGCTGAAAAAACTTGGGAGAGGCTACCCCCAATATGTTACAACCCTTATTATGCCCCCCTAATACGAAAACCAAAAAACCCCTAAGATGTAATATAAGGAAACGATGACACTTCCTATGAAATGCACAAAAAGCTCGCACGTAACCTCTCTTTCGCCCAGCACACTTCATTGGGAGCAATGAACCAAAAGAGCAAATGGCTACACACACAACTTACACATCGAGAGTTGTACACAAATATTTTCGACCTGTTCAGCCATCACGCTAGCTACCAGCTGCTTCTCGCCTTGCGCCCGCCGGCTTCACACATGCGATGGCACCCCGAAAAAAACAAGAGCTACCCCAAAAACGGCCCGAAAAGCGTGCCAGTAGCTAATTTGGGGCGCTCATCGACACCCATTTTAATCAGGCGGAAGGCGCAATTAGTCGTCATGTGTGTGGTGCCGTGCCTACCAAAAATTCTCTACTCAAAACATTGTACGCACTTTGCTCAAACACCAACAAGAAACGTAAAATTGGAAAGTACTGACAGCAACAGGCCCCACCCGCGGCAGAAGGACGAGCCCACACACACAAAAAAAACGAAGGCAGTACGAAAACATTTAGCGCACCCATACACAAACAAAAAAACAGCGACATCATCACACCACACGCCACGACCACATCCAAGAACTAAAGTGACAACCAACCGCGCATCCAATCAGCGATGGGAACCACGAAGAGCCAATCGCCATCGGCACAGCGTCTTGTCGGTGATAGGTGAGCGTGGGTCGGTAGTGTGGTGAGAGCCAAGGCTGGACCAAGAACTTGATGGAGTTTCGTTCCGACATCGGGATCTTGCGAGTGAGGGCGGCCTCCATATTCGCACGAAAAAAAAAAAAAAAAAACTTCACATACATGTGGGAAAGTGCCACACCGAAAGGGGGGTGGGGTCTGCAGCGTCGCCGTTAACTGTCGACTTTCCGTCAGTACCATGATGATGACGGCTGCCGCGCCGGCACCAACCTACTGCAGCGCAAATCGAGCTAATGCCCTCTGTAAGAACTGATCTCCGATCATGAAACGACAGTGACGCTATATTCAATGGGCAATAATGTACAGGATTTGTCTCTAATCGGCCCCCCAGTTCAAGAAGATGCAATATTGCTCTTCCCACTCCTCTTCTCCATGCCGTTCCACTCCAAAAATAGTCCCCACCACCTCGCAGAGGGCTGTTGGGACGGCCCCCTTCGTCGATGTCTGCTCTGGCAGGCAGGGGGGTAAACGCAACCTTCCTTTCAGCCCCCCCCCCCCCCCCCCCCCCCCCCCCCAAAAAA